GAGTGGCGCCACCGAAGCTCCCTCTCTTTCTGCCGTGACCCAAGGCTCCACTCGGATTGGGTACCGCATCTCGCACATGGGTTGCTCACGTTGCTCAGAGTGCGCGAACGAGGACGCAAGAGTCGGGATTGAGTATAGCCATGCAACTGTAACTGCATACCCAGCGTAACGACTATACCCCATTGCACTCCACTATACGCCATTATACTTACAGAGAAAATGGCAAAGATCGGGTTGCTGAACCCTATAGCCTCCATACAACTGATTGTTCAGATATGAGAGTTTTTGTTATAACTTCTCCATTTACGTAGCTAGAAATATGAAATTTTGCACTATTTTCATCCATTACTACAGCTGTAAAAGTAACGAAAATTTGGATACCCGCATGTATTCGTTATTAATCCAATCAACACCCGTATCTTTCGTATCATTACTTTAATCGTTACTTTTGATGCAAGCACTTGTACCTCACAAGAATCATCGTAACAAACCTTGCAGCGTAAGGAAATGTTCGTTCGTACATATGTATACATACATGTACATACCCTGCAGTAGGGGGGAGCGACTGCAGGGTTGATGAATCGGTAGCTACCTGATAAACTCTGTCAATTACCGACCGACTACATGCAGTGTATTTCATCGATTACTTTTACAAGGCAATGCCCTAGGCTGTAGTCACCATCGGCTCTCTCTGCACTACCGGGAGTTACTAAAGTAGTCATATGCGTGATTTATGGGCGCCCTCTGTCGTAGTTTTTCGCGATTTTGCTTCCGACTGGTTCGACTCTGCACTACCATGTGCACTACCACGGGTTAATAGAGTAGCTAGTTACCTAGGAGTCGGTGCAGTAGCGGTTCAAAAGTAGCAATTGACTCTAGCAGTACTGGAGGGTATATACATACCCTGCAGTACGGGGGAGCGACTACAGGACTGCTGAATCGGTAGCTACCTGATAAACGCCGTCAATTACCGACCGACTACTTGCAGTATATTTCATCGATTACTTTTGCAAGGCAATGTCCTAGGCGGTAGTCACCATCGGCTCTCTCTGCACTACCGGGAGTTACTAAAGTAGTCACTTGCGTGATTTATGGGAGCCCTCTGTCGTAGTTTTTCGCTATCTGGTTCGACTCTGCACTACCATGTGCAGTACCGCCGGGTAGTAGAGTAGCTACTTACCTAGGAGTCGGTGCAATAGCGGTTCAAAAGTAGCGATTGACTCCAGCAGTACTGGAGGGTATGTATACACGCAAAATATTTTTGTATCGTTCAAACAATTTGATACAATCAAGCACTTGCACCTAACACGAATCAAGCATGCATGCACGTACATATACACACACGCAACACACTTTAGTATCGATACGAAAAACAGTTTCGTTACCGCACAATATGCTGTGTTGTATTGATTCACGTTGATGGTGCATATACGGAAGATGCGAGTAACGAGATTATTATGTGAGTAACGATTCGCTACTTCGAGTCAGGGTATACATACGAATACATACCTTTTGCTACAGCTCTATCCATTACCAAAAGAAAATTTACAGAAAAATGGCAAAGATCGGGTCGCTGAACCCTATAGCCTCCATACAACTGATTGTTCAGATATGAGACTTTTTGTTATAACTCCTCCATTTACGTAGCTAGAAACATCAAATTTCGAACTATTTTCACTCATTATCAACAGAAAGTTTTCAGTAAAAATGAAAAAGATCGGGTCACAATTGATTGTTCAGATATGGGGTTTTACTGTAAAACGCCTTTATTTGGACAGCTAAAACCGAGACATTTTTTGAGCTATTTTATAAATAATTATACAAAGTGTACTGAGAAAATCGTCAAAATCGGTGCTGTATAAGCTTTATCTCCTATACCACTGATTGTTCAGATACAAGTTTTTGTGTTATAACTCCTTTATGTAGGAAGCTAAACCCCATAAATTGAGTTACCGGTTTATATACAGATCACGTAGAAGTGAAAATTACTTAGATTGGTGCTACATACATAAGGTATATCTTCCATAACTTCTGATTCATATCTGATCGTTTAGATATGCTTTTTTACAAATGTAACTCCTCTATCTATGTGTGCTGTGAATATAAAAATTTTTTCAAATGCAGTAATCTATTAAAGTAAAATTTTGTAATGTTCATGAAAGGTATGAAGCCTTCCGCATAACCGAAGACAGCGCTGCTCTTACTTGTTATTATTAACTTATTCTTACGATATTTTAAATAAGATGAAAATGCAGATGTGTTTCCACTTTTCTTTACATAATTTAAAATTTGTTTGACATCACAGAACAGCTGATGGTTTGACACTAAGGTTTTGCCAGCAAAAATTCTTCGGCTTCTGACAAAAATAGAACCGCATCCACTCTCTAATTCAAAGGTTTGTTTTAAGTCAATGTGAAAATCAAGTTATTTTCAAAGGAAGTTTCGATGCTTACCTGTCAATCTATTAACGGTGCGGCAAGTATAGCTCTTAAATGCATCATTGGGCCCCGCGTTATTTATATACAGTTCCCCGTTAGATAATACTGTATACTTTCCACCTATGTCAGTGTTCGGGTAGAGATGCATGCCAGTATCTTGGACCCAAGCTGTTACCATAACAAACTCCGACATATAGCTGGGCACCTACAATACGTATATAAAAAATTAGAATATAAAAATATTTGCGTATTATATAAAATAGCAATAAAGTTATTTAATGTGATTGTTAAAAAATATTATAAAGATTTATTTATAAAGATTTTTGGTAGTCCGTCTGGTATTCATTCCAAAATTGTGTTAAATGTCATTCATATAAACTACGTTCTTATGGACCGTGTACCGGAACGTATGAGTAGCATTGAAACCAATTTTCTTTCACGAAAACGAAATAGCCCAATTCCAATTGGAATTTTTCGTATGCGTAATGTGACCAACTATTTCGTAGCTCAAAGAAGTACAGGTTAGGTTGGGTTAGGTTAACACCGCAAGCCGATTACGAAATTTTGAATGCGGCTAATTTCTATTCCTGAGAGCTCAGCGTCAGTTCAGAAGAGCGAGCCAAAATGCTTCCACCTTAGCCTCGCGAAGGTTGGGCAGTGTAAAAGGAAGTGTGGAGATGATTCCTCTTTATCTTCCTCTTGACAGCTGATACAAAAGAGATCAGTTGAAATTCCTAGTCTTACCGAGTGAATATAAATCGCACAATAGCCTGTCAGAACCCTCATCACTAGCTCTTAAGGGGTAACGTGGTATTCGGCCCCTTTAAGGGGTAACGATGGGCCCCTCGTTACTTGCGCTGCAAAAGTTATTTTAAAGTGCCTTATAAAAACATTTTCTGCAGCGGATAAACGTCTTATTTTCCTCTTTTATGTCACAAAAGGAGTATCGCTTTCTTTTGTCCATTTTATTAGGTATTACCTCTTTTATGTCACAAAAGGAGTATCGCTTTCTTTTGTCCATTTTATTAGGTATTAAGTAAGGTAAGGGCCAAGCTCACACTAGGCCCAACCATCCAAGAGTGTACCGCAGGAGGACAGTGGCGTCCGTAGTTGCTCCTTATCTAGGGATAACGATTTAAGGGTGCCTTTTCAACGCCAGGTCATGAGCCCCGCAGTTTTGCACGATGTCACTGTGACCCGGTACCATTCCTTTACCGATTCTAAAGCACCATCACACCCTTTAGCAGTGAGTCTACCGCTTCTTTGATGGCAGCTAGAGGCCGGACAAGGACTCCGTGAAACAAGTTAAGCTTAAATCTGGTTCCATGGAGCTAGTAAATTAATTTGGGCGAGAGACCTTACCTTTTACCGATAGCTCCCCTACAGCAGTACAAGAGAACCGACGCATTTTCTTACCCTTTCCTCAATGTTAGGCTTCCACGACAGCTTCTTATCCAGGACCAAGCCTAAGTACTTGACCCTATCTGAGAGCCGCAGACGAACACCACTCGAGGAAAGGGCCACAACGGGTATCTTGTACTTCCTGGTAAACAAGACCAGTTCCATCTTACTGAGATACACTGCGAGGCCGCCGTTTATCGCCCACCAGTTACCTGGCTCAGGTAACTTTGAGTCTGATCAAAAAGGGTGGGTAGAAGTCGTCCCTTAACCAAAAGTTCCACATCATCTACATAGGCGATCACCCGACAGCTCACTCTTTCCAGTTCCTCTAGAAGGTCGTTTAAAATCGCAGTCCAGAGCAGGGGGAGAGAACACCACCTTGCGGAGTGTCCCTATTGACTCTGCGCTGAGTGCAGGCGCTCCCCCACTCCGCCGCGACAGTTCTGTAACAAAGTAATTATAGGTCCGCCAATAACCCCAAAAAATGCAATAGTTGTACCAATAAAAAATCGTTAGTTTTAAAAAAGGGTTAAATAAAGAACTGGGTATTTTATTATTGAAAGCATCTTGAAGAGAACCAGAGTTTCCCGATCGAAAAATATTGATTTTCAAGAATTCCATACCATTTCACGAAAAGTTATTTTTTCCCCATATAAAATACATGGAAAACTTTAAGCGCTTTGAGCGACCGCTAAATATTTTTTCATTTCAAAATAAAAAAATAGGGGTATAATTTTTTCGACGTAGAACAATCCTGGGGGGTTAGAGCATTAAAATTCCGGCTTTACTCTTTTTGGCCACCCTAATATACAAACAAACAAAACAATAACTGTTTCAAAATTTTAAAATATGATTGACTTACAATAAAAAACATCATAACTGTTTAGGTGCGACTGCTAACACCAGGCGCCTAAATACATGCTATGTATTGCTGCATGTGCAAACATTTCCTTTATGCAATTTAGGAAGTATTTTCACTGAACCTACTTGCTATAAGATTATTATTATTAATCTTAACTTAAACTAATAAAGTAAGCAGTAATGGAAAAAGAATAACCAAATCAATGCGCACGGCAGTGCGCACGAGTGACGAAAGCATCCACAGTAGCATGCTGAAATGACTCGCTTATATCACAGCGCACGGCAGTGCGCCCGATTGACAAAAGCAGCCACAGTAGCATGCTGAAATGACTCGCTTATATACAGGGTGTCCCAGAAGTAACGTGCCAAACTTTAGGGGAAGGTAGGTGGGGCGGTGAGCTCCCTGATAAACAAAAAATTTTCAGGTAAAAGTGTCACCGTTTTTGAAATATTTACATTTTTTCGAATTTAAAAAAAATCGTGCCTTTTCATGTGTTTTCTTTAACTGCAACTACAAACCGGGCAATACTTAGTAAATTTTTTATGTAAAATACTTCCAGATAGTTGCCTCTCCATACTCAAATGCAATGTAGTTAAAATATATTAAGGAACCATCATACAATTAGGACTATTTTGGGATTTTTAACTTTTTGATATTTTCTTCGCCAACTTTGACTATTGACTTTACATTACATAAAAAAATTGCTCATTTAATAAAGATTTCAGAATGGTGCCGCACTTACTGTTTTGAATAGAAAAAAAAAGTTATAGCCGCTTTTGTGGGTAAAGGACTGAGACACGCTAGAATGTATTTAATAGATTTAAATTGAATTTGCTCTTGTTACCGTCAAATGACATGCTAACTAGTACAAAGGTACATAATTACTTGCTTCTGACATTATTTTATGTTACTTACCGGAATTAGTGAAAGTGGATTTTGTGAAATTGGACCCTTCGAACATTGTGTTATTAATACTATGACAGAGAACACGCAGTATACGTCGCATGAATATGCGGATATTCACCTAATTTACGGTGAAGCTTGCTGTAATGCCAGAGCTGCTCAAAGACTCTATGCAGAGCGATACCCCAATCGTCGACATCCGGGCCGTGAAGTATTCGCCCGGACCCATAGAGAAATATATGAAGGTAAGTGATTTTTACACCTTTCTTGTTTGCTTGCTTGTTAACTATCATTTTTCACTTTTTTAAGGTCGCATACCTGGAAGGCGTGGCGGCGAAACAGGACGTCCTGCAACGGTAGATGTTGAAGCTGTGTTAGAGGAAGTGGAACTAGGTCCATCGACTTCAGTGAGAATGATGGAAAGACGGACGGGAATACCAAAAACTACAGTTCACAAAGCTTTAAAAGACCATCGATTTCATCCCTACCACTTTCAACGTGTTCAGGCTCTACAGGAAAGAGATTACCTGTCGAGGGTTAGATTTTGCCGTGAAATGTTGCGAATGCATGCATCAGACCCCAACTTTTTTAATAAAATAATTTGGAGCGATGAATCATCATGCAAACGTGATGGTTATTTTAATTTACATAATCTTCACAGTTGGCAGATAGACAATCCTCACGAAATGAGAGAAGATCGTTCTCAGTACCGGTACAAAATAAATTTATGGTGCGGTATTTTTAATTGTCAGATATTGGGACCTGTGGAACTGCCGCCAACGCTCAACTCTCACAGTTATTTAAAATTCCATCAGGAACGGCTTCTAACTCTTTTGGAAGATATACCCTTAAACCTGCGGCGAAGACTATGGCTGCAAAATGACGGGTGCCCTGCTCACTACGGGCGTGAAGTAAGAGCTCATTTAGACGAAACTTATCCTCGCCGATGGATTGGACGATACGGGCCAATCACGTGGCCCGCTCGATCGCCAGACCTGAATCCATTAGATTTTTTCTACTGGGGCTGTCTTAAGTACAAAATTTATTCAAAAACAATTCAAAACGAAGAGCATTTGCGGGAACCAATAAATTGAGCTGCTGCTGAGATAGCCCAATTGAGTTTAAGATCTCTAAAAGCGTCTTTTCTTAAAAGGTGCCGAGCTTGTATTAGAGTAGAAGGTCGCCAATTTGAGCATATCTTATTAATAAATGAATAAATTTTTCTTCAAACAACTCATGTATTTCTTATTTCACGTGAACCCATCCTTCACACAAAATATTGATAGATATAGCCCTCGTTATAGACTCTAGTCCGAATTCCGGTAAGTAACATAAAATAATGTCAGAAGCAAGTAATTATGTAACTTTGCACTATTTAGCATGTCATTTGACGGTAACAAGAGCAAATTCAATTTAAATCTATTAAATACATTCTAGAGTGTCTCAGTCCTTTACCCACAAAAGCGGCTATAACTTTTTTTTTCTATACAAAACAGTAAGTGTGGCACCTTTCTGAAATCTTTATTAAATGAGCAATTTTTTATGTAATGTAAAGTTATAGCTCAGTACATTTTTTTTTCACCCGAGATAGTCAAAGTTGGGGAAGAAAATATCAAAAAGTTAAAAATCCAGAAATAGTCCTAATTTTATGATGGTTCCTTAATATATTTTAACTACATTGCATTTGAGTATGGAGAGGAAACTATCTGGAAGTATTTTACATTAAAAATTTACTAAGTATTGCCCGGTTTGTAGTTGCAGTTAAAGAAAA